CATCAACGTGTATCAAAAGCTTTGTCCTCTAGTGAACTTACCCATGGCTCTGTTAAGCACATCTGTGACTGATGCTGTAAGTCCTCCTCTCTGTGGGTAGTGGAGCTTGCTATGATTACAAGATCATATTTTCTGAGGACAATGTTTGTTTCTCTGACTTTGCTGGGTCTCAGTGGAGAGGCACTGTAACTATTTATGAAGTCCTGAGTAAATGTCTATTTCTTTTTTTGTTGTTGTTGTTAAATTTTTAATTTCAGACTCCCTAGCACTGTTTTTCTCCTCCAGGTCCTAGTCACCCTCCAGTAATTTTCATTAAATTATAGCAATTTCAATTTTACTGAGCATAAAATTTCCCTAGTTTCTTGCTGTGAAATGGTAAATTAGTCATTTTGACCATAACTATACAATAATAAGGGCATCCAGTTCAAACTCTTTACAAAACATTTCCTGAGAGAACTGACCTTTTGTTCCTGCCAAATGATGAAGAGATGACCTGAGCTTCTGTTCCCTCAGCTGGCTCAATCTTGACAGTTAAAAGCAATTTCTATGCCTTCCAGTTTATATATCTTCATTAAAATGCTAATACAATTCTATTAGCAATCCAATTTCTGATTTTTGTTGTTTCTTCCTATTGGTGTGTGCGTGTGTCTGCATTATTGTTGCTGCTGAAGAGTAACATTTATAAAAGAACAGATGCAATTCGATTTTCCTTAGCTTTATCTGAACCCGAAGTGCTGAAACAAGCAAAACACATTTTCATTACTTAACTAAGCAAACAATGGCTTATAAATCATAGAGGCAGCTGGACCAAGGTGTCGTTTTCATAAAGAGCCAGATTTTTCATGAAGGACAGTTTAATGGGCTGCTGCCAATGAAATGTCTGCAGAACTGGTAATTGCAGAAGGGCACAGAAAAAGTGGCGCTAGGAAGGTGTCATGTGGGAGCTGAGAAATAGCTCCACAGTCAGGACATTTGGTTAAAGGAGTCTGAGAAAGGTGTGTGCTTTAATAATCTGCTTCTTGATGCTGATTGCTTTAAATCAAAATACAAGTTTTTATTTTTAGCTTGTTCACATTGGCTACAAGATCAGAGAAATGCTTTTAGCTGCAATTTTAGTTTGATCATGTTTATGCCACAGCTTTGTTTCTCCTTTGATCATGCTTAAACATGTTTCAGACATGTTTGTTTGATGTATGCTATTTTTTAAAGCACTCTTCCACATTATATGGTTATGTGTTTTTTAAAGCAATGAGTCACTGCAAATTATTTGCTGTCAAATTATTTCTTAAATCCATTTTAACAAAGCATGCTTTCTAGACTTCTAGCCTATAGGACAATCATTTTAAGCAAGAACATGTTGAAATATTGTGATGGCTTTTCTGAGTGTTCCACTGATTTGAGGCAGTTTTAGAGTCTCAAAATATCTTATAGTTCATGAACAGAAATTTGAAGTCATCCTATTTATCCACAATACCTGCAGTGCGCTGAGTTTGCAGTTGTCATCACTGGTTTTGAATCAAAGTCCCACTTTTTATTCAATAAAATTTGCTTGAAGTTTATTCCAGTACTTCTTAGGTAGTTATGTTGTATGTATGAAATAGGTCAGCCCTGACAGGACCATTTTAAAATTCCCATGGGGAGCTCCTGATACTGAACTTGTTTAATTTTGCAATGTAAGGACACGCAGTCTCAATATTTGAACATATACCCTCATGGATAACATTCTTTCTTCTGCTGCATGGTTGAGCAATTAGGAGAGTCAAGCATAAGTCTCTCATTTGTGGACATCTCCCTTCCCTTCATTAAAGAAGAGCAATTCAAAAACACTACACAGTCCATGGAGAGTACTATGTTGCGTGACTGCCAGCCATCTGGCTGATTGATTCATCGTGGCCCTAAACAGTTGTAAGCATGGTCTGAAGACCCAGAGTTAAATGCCAGTGTGCATCAAGCCTCAGGCAGATCAAGCAGATTCTCAGCCAGTGAAACAGTAGAGAGCATGCTACAGATCACTAGCTTACACCACCCCACGTCTCAGCTGAAGAACCTACTAAATTCCCTCTGAAAACATATACACACACAATCATTTCTTATATGATCATTATATTCATTCTGAACAGAAGTTAATCTATGTTTATATACCTATAGCCTGCTCTCCCTTTATTTGATTCTTTACATAGGCACAAGATGTAAAATGGAAGAGGGAAAAAAAAGAACAAACAAACAAAAAACTAAGGAACAAGAACAAAGTTTGTATTACATGAAGAACCATTCTTTTATTGACTAAAACATATTGATTGAACTGGATGGAAATGCAACTTGAAGTTTGCACACTAAGAAACACAAGAAACACAGAAAATGTTCCATGATGTACTATAGATATGTTCTAATATGTGGCTGTATGAGCATTCTATTTTAAAAGATGTAGTTAGGTTTACTAATCACTAACTGAAAATCTGAATTCCTCCCAGTTGACCATTGCTAAGCAATATATACAAAGCGTATTCACACATGCTGTGAATATGACCTTAATTATATCTGCCTTCTTCACAGCCCCCTTCTTCTGCTACCACTCTGCTAGATGCATATTTTCAATCTCTTGATATTTTTTCTATAATTCTCGTATTTCTGTAACACTAGGCTTTCTTACTGTTCTAGTTTCATTTGTAAAATTATGAGACAGAAAGAAAATAATAATAATATGCTAACCCAGGACAAGTTTATATAACCCTTACTATATCAGCAATAGTATTGACTCAAATGAGACTCCCCATGGGCTCATCACAAGGCAGTGTAAAGTTAGAATTTTGATGCCTGATAACATAGTGATTTATGTTAGAATTTGATATCTTGTGATTTACAAAACCCATTGTGCTGGAGACAAATCATTCAAACATTTGGGGAATGCATTTGGATTTTGTTTGAATGTATTTTTTACCTCTTTCACTAAGACCTTAAGATTGTAAAAGTAACCATGTGTGTTCAGGAGTTCTTCATATTCAGTAGACCAGACCAATGTCTGGGTCTGGGTGCTTTTTTCTTTGATGAATCCTTACTCAGGCTGTGAGGTAGAGATTTTCAGAATGTAGATGTACGTTTCTTGTGATAGATCACATGAAAAATAATAATGATATTAACCACATTACAATGATTCAATTCATCTTAAGCCTTTTATCAGTGTAAACTGAAAACCACTAAGTAAGCTAAAATTAAATAAAGGAAATTTAGTAGCTTGAGTTCTTGTCTGTGGGATGCAGAGTGTAAGCTGATTACAGATTTTTGTTGCTTTTATTTGTCCAAAAATGTTTATTTTAATAGAAAATAGGTAATAGATGCAATCCCACAGAGGTCTGCTCTGTGACCTCTGTTGTTCAACGTGTTCATAAATAACCTGAAAAAGGGGTTGAACAGCAAGATGAGAAAGTTTTCACGCGAAACTAAGTTATTCAGCACAGTGAGACAAAGGAAGTCTGTGACGAATTACAAAAGGATCTTATGCAACTGGGTAGCTAAGCAATCAAATGACAAATTAAATTATTCTTGATGAATGATGTAGTGAAAAACCACGAGGAAAACTATGAGGAAAACAGACCTATCTTCACATTTAAAATGATCACCTGTGAACTGAACATTACCATAGAACAGTGAAATTCTAGGGTTATGGCACATATTGTTCCATGAAAATTTCAACTTACTGCTTAGAAGCAGTCAAATCCATATTGAATTTTAGGAATTAATAAAAAAGAATCATAGAATCATAAAATGGCTTGAGTTGGAAGAGTCCTCAAAGATGATCTGGTTCCAACCCTCTGCTATGGACATCAGTGCCAGCCACTAGTCCAGATAGTCCAGGGCCCCATCCAGACTGACCTTGAGCACCCCCAGGGATGGGGCAACTTCCCTAGGCATAACAGGGAATTCAACAAAGAGCACTGTTTATGCTGTCTGTAGGAATTCAACTGACTCTCATCTTGAACATTCAAGATATTTCCAGTGTAGTAATTATATAAATATATAAAAGAAAAAGTATGACCCAATTGTATAATAGACACAGCTAAACACATGCATGTATATATATAAATATATAAAATATGTTGCTTACAAACACTGCCATCCTTATTAAGGCATGAGGTTCATTGGACTGATAGGGCAAACTGGCAAAACAAAGTTCATTATTTCCATGATTATATGGCAATAAACATACACTGTAAAGATGTTAATGCATGATGCTAAAATAGCTTATAATTTCACAGAGAAACAGGGTTCTTTGAGTAGTTAAATATAGTTCATACTTAATTATCCCAGCATGATGTAAAATGACTATAAAACAGATTGGTAAATCTGTTGGATATTGGATATGCCTTCTTTTTTCCAAATATAGTGAAAGATACCAGCTGAAGTATCTCTATAAAATACAATGATGAATCAGATCCACCAGTGGTATGAATTTTCATTTATGAGTTCTATAAACTTTTCTCCCAAAACTGCTGACTTTTTTTCTTCTTAAATAACTCATCAGTGTGTGCATCTTATGTATGTTCATTTGTTGATGTATTTTTATCCCAGTTTTTGAACATTAAGATATTAATACTTTTTTTGATATAAGTTAGGAACATCACACTGTCTCAATATTGTTCTTTTTGGTTACTGATCAAAAATCAAAATATTCAAATAAACAACAAAAAATATCAGGAATATATACATAAAATTAGGAAGCCATACCATACCACAGTTTTTAAAGAGATTCCACAGATGTTTAGTTATTCTAATGATAAGGTTAAGGTCTGCTCATTAAATGTCTGTAGTGAACTTTTCCATGTTTTAGAGGTAAGAGAAATATAAAAACCTGTCACCTCGTAAAGGTAAGGATGTACTTTATCTAGATGTACTTATATGACACAAAGATTGATTCTTGGAAAGTAAAGTCACACAGTTCATGTAAAGAAGGCAAGTGATTTAATTCATGGAATAGTAACATGAATAATGGCACTGTCTTTCAGATCCCAGATTTATTAGTGCTCACCTGATACCTGAAAGTGATAATCCAGAAGATGACAAAATCTATTTCTTCTTTCGTGAAAATGCGATTGATGGAGAGCACACTGGAAAAGCCACTCATGCCAGAATAGGGCAGATCTGTAAGGTAAAATGATGACTTCTTTGTGTGATGAGGCACTCTGAGAATTTGCTTGTCTGTAAACTATTTAGTGTTATCCTTTACACTACAAGGAGAGAGAGATCATCCAGACTGATAGTCACTTAGTTTTTAAAAAAAAATCATGCTCATCTTCTGAAGTTCAGAATGTTTCTGCAAAAGGTAAAATCTATTACAGGAAAAGGAATAATTCTAGATAGACCAACAACATTTGAAGAGTTTAATTTTAAATAAATATTAATACCTTTCAATTTCCATATTAATGAAAACTCTTAAAACAAAAGTAAAGGAAGATTTAACATAATAACTGTTTAATTTAGCTGTAGAAATGGGCAGCAATCCAGAAGACTCTTAAGGATTGCATATTGAATCATCCATCCACGCTGATAAATGTCCAAATATTTTCTGACAGACTTTAAAAAAGATTACTACAAATTAAATGATATTCATAAACGTGGTAGCTTTGGCATGTAGAAAGTTCGTAGTAAAATTCTATGCTAATCAATAGGCGGAATTTCAATTTATCCCTCAAACCCATAAATAGCTGCTTGAAAACCATTTCCTCCATAATTATGAGGTCCTTGGTGTGCCTCTACTCAGAAGTTTTGCAGCTATGCAGCTGGTCCCACCATACTGGGATCTATTTTGTTCACATGGAAGTAGTATATCTACTATTTGTGTAACTTGGTTAAGAATACAAAACCCCACAGGATTTACCAAGACATGGCAGCCTAGGAGTTGCCTGTATTTTTCCATTGCCATATATACAACATATATATATATATATATAATTTTTTAAATAATGAGAACTATAAAGTGATACATTGTAAAATAAATGTAATTTAGAATTAATGTCATTGGCAACATTATAATGCTCTTACATGTAAACGTTGAATTATTTCCTCTGTTTTCTATAGGTAGTATCTTGCAATTGTTTAATATATTTTCCCTGCCTTCTATTCATTCTTCACACAAAGATTGTTACAAGATATTAATCCAAAATACTTTCATTATTAGAATGACTTTGGTGGACACAGGAGCCTTGTTAACAAATGGACAACTTTCCTCAAAGCACGTCTGATTTGTTCTGTGCCAGGACCCAATGGTATTGACACACACTTTGATGAATTACGTAAGTGTCAGAAATGGCTTTGAATAAAAAACATTTTCTGGCATTGTCCATATAGAATTTCACTCATTTTTCTTTTCCATCTCTTGTTATTGTTTACAGAAGACGTGTTCCTAATGAACTCGAAGGACCCTAAAAATCCAATAGTATATGGAGTGTTTACAACTTCCAGGTACAGAATGTATTATTTTACTTGCATAGAAATTTGATGGCTGCTTGTTTTAAAGAGGTCCCTTCGTTAAAAATTTTCTTAACCTTTGAACTGAGATGTCAGTGGCAGTAAGAAGTAATGAATTAGGTTTCTTTTTTTATGGATAATGTACATCATTGCTCTAAAGCGAATAACACAAAGACTACCAGTTTCTCAGACTGTTCTTTCTGTTGAACTGCCTTTTAATAGTGGAGATCAGAACTGGGCTCCTCAGTTGGAGAAAGATGGGGAACTTCTAGAGAGAGTAGAACGGAGTTGAGTCGGGGCCTGGAGAATCTCTCTTGTGAGGAAAGGCTGGTGAAGACTGAAGGAGAAATGCTTATAAACATTTAAATGATGAGACTCAAGTGGCCCTTTTCAGTGGTGTCAATGATAGGACAAGGGGCAATAGGTAAAAACTATAATGTAGGAAATTCCATATGAACATGAGGAAAAACTTCTTTACATAGAGGGTTACAGAGCACTGGAACAATATGACCTGAGAAGTTGTGGATTCTCCTTGCTTGGAGACATTCAGAACCTTCCTGCATGCTTTCCTGTGTAACTAATTGAAGGGAACTTGATTTAACAGAGGGGTAGGACTTGATCTTCTGAGGTCCCTCCCAACCATTATGTTTCTATCATTCTTTGATTTGTAGCCACACAAACTTGAAAAATAACATTAGCATCAATAAGATTGTTTGGGGGAAGAGTTATGTAGGAAATCTGTGGTGTGAGAAACTGACTTCTTGGGAAGGTATTAGTAAGAAGTATTGTTTAAATCTGAAAAGTTTAAAAAATTTTGCAAGTTCTGTTATTGAATCATGTAAACTGTGACTTGGCTGTTTTGGTTTCATTGTGCTTTCATCAGGAACAAAATTTCATTTGTAGCTTTAGCCTGGGGAAGGTTTGCAGTATTGGGAGCACAGAGCATTACCACATTTACCTGTGAAGGACAGACTTTCAGTCTCTAAACTGAAAGAATGTTGCTAGTGATAACCAGGCATAGAAAAGAGATTTACAAGTACTTGCTGTCTCCTGTAAGAAATTTCAAGGTAAGAAACAACACGGAGGTTTGCATGTGTACTGCCCAAATGATGAAAGCAACTTCAAAAACAAAATTGAAAAATGAGAATTCTATAAAAGAACTGAACAGACCTATATTGTCAGCCACAATAACTGGGGCTTTGGCCTTGTGGGAGCAATATATTTTTAAATAGTGGAATAACAGCCATCAGCTTAGCACTGTGTCTGGGAGATCATCAGTTTTGCTGAACTTTCACAAGAGGTGAGTTAAAATTGTTCCAAGAGCAAGTCAGAGTTTTGATAATCAGCACATGCTGATTAGAAAGCAGTGAGCTACTATCTCATAGTTTACCACTTGATTAATCTAACTGATAAATTAAAGAATCTGATTTGATTTTTTCTCCCCTTATTTTTAGTAATATCTTCAAGGGATCAGCAGTATGTATGTACAGCATGACAGATGTGAGGAGGGTATTTCTTGGCCCCTATGCCCACCGAGATGGCCCAAACTACCAGTGGGTTCCCTACCAGGGGCGAGTTCCATATCCACGGCCAGGAACTGTAAGTACCCTAGAAATCTAGCGATCCAAAAAGAGAAAACTATGGAAAATATTTTTACAGATTATACGGCCCTTGAGCTGAGAACAAGGTAAAAATTGAAAAAGATTATGACCCAGTGGCAGAAGGAGAAGGGAAAGTTAACCATTCCTCTAGGTCCAAAATTTACCGGTTTTCTAGTAAATTATGAAGCCACAATATCTGTAGTCTAGTTTCATTTGGGTTTTCATTTTGGCTTCTGTATTAATTTCAACATAACCTTGAGCAATAGCTGCAGAAATTTGCTGAAAGTCAAATGTGTAATAAATTTCTCTGCATTATTCTGTCCTTGGAATTTTTGCTTGCTCCAAATACTGGCTGAACCATTCTTGGTGAGACTGAATAGAAAACAGAACATCCGCCTGGCTATTAGGAAATATTAACTTGTTTGCAACATTCAGTCTGGTAGAGTAAGACATTTCTGAAATGGATATTAGAGAGACGACGAAAATTTCATAACTTCCACTGAAATTTCTTTTCATTCCATGTTCTACATGCTTCTCTTTACAGTTAATGAATGACTGAAATATTGGTGTATATAAGGCATACGTATTTAAAACTCCAAACTGATGTAATCACATTCTAGAAATATTTCACTGCCCCTAAGTTGCCACTAACCTACAAAGATAGGGCATTTATGAGAGAAACATTAATTGTATACACTGGAATACACTGGGATGGCTACTTAGCTGCTATCAATCAGTTTGACCTATTTAAATTCTGGAACACCATTATTGTAGATAAAATATAATATGCATGAAAGTATAAGTAGAAATAAAAAAAAAATATGTAAAATTTCTTAAAAACTGTTCTTAAATTCACTTCTGGCAGAAAACAATCCAGGAATAGCTTTGATTTTTTTTAAAAAATTATTATTATTATTATTACTTTTTAATAATCTGCCTTCTATTTTTGTCTGGTATTTTTTAAGATTGCTATTTCAAACCTGATCCTTCAACTGATTTCCAACATTTAGACAATACATACACTTGGACTAATGAAAATGACTTCCTAAGTAAAAGAAAGCAGTGACTCCCTGACAGCCAGATTACCTAGCTCTCATCATTCCTTCTGCTAAAGTGTTTACTAATTCTTTCCAGAGTTAAAAGATAAGCTCTGCAGAATAAGAGAAGTTTTATTTCTTAGGATGGATTTCATCCTTATAATTTCGCTGTAACATGTCTATACTAGTATTCACCAAGAGCATGTAGATATGTTGAGATTTCCTTATAAACAATTTTCTTACCTAAAGGTGAATGAAATGCCCAAGTCCTACATAGTCCTGTAGTCACATCTTGTACAGCTAGAATAATACTGTAAATGATGCTAAAAAAAGAGTGGCTGAGACAACCTGTTTCTAGGGTTAGTGACTCTAATCCTGTTGTGTAACATTTTGAAAAAGAGGGTTTTTTTTTTATTATTTTATTTTATTTTTATTTTTTTTATTTGTAGTCACTGAAATCATTCCCTTGTATTAGCACAACAAAACTGAACTTGAAATGGGAGATGTCTTACTGAAGAGTTTTTTGTTGTTGTGTTTTTTGTTTGTTTTTTTTTTGCTTAAACTGATAAAATTCAATTTACTTTTGATGGCTTTGAACATCTGTTGAGAATAGAGAAGAAAGATTTTTTAAAATTTTTTAAATGTCAGATTTGCAGCTTCCTTTTCCAAGAAAAAGGCGAATGGAAGGGAGGAACAATACATGAGCTACTTAGAGTGTTTCATCTACAGATCTCACTTTAGTTAAACTGTGCTAAATTATCTGAGGAATTTCATAGGTGATGTGCCAAGAAACTTCCTGAGCATCTGGTGATTTGCCCACTATGAGTAAAGAAAAAGAAAATGAAAGGTTCCTTTGAAAAGGTAGAAAACTTTGTAAACAATTTTACATCAGCTTCATATTTAACACAGAAGCTGCCAGGATTTTTCCTTTAAACTCTACAGAATGTTATTTATCTATTTAATCTTTTGTTATTATTTGGTAGATGAGGGAAGATTTTTATATATACCAAATCGTCTCATGAATTAATATTACTTTTATGTGAATTCAGATGCAAAGCTCAAATTTTCTCTGCTTTATGGTGCCAAGAGTCTATCTTCTCTCTTGGTTTTGGAACTGTTTTGATTTCTACTAAGATGTGCTTTTTTCTTTAGTCTTTTGGTTTTTCTAATAAGTCGGTTAGGGTATAACCTCGTCCACTTTTTCTAGCTTATCAAAATGACTGACATAGCGTATTTGGGTAGCTGGACACTGATACTAAATCCTACAGTTCATTGATTCCAAGATCAATCTCATTTCTCCAACCTTTATCAGGACAAATGTATTTATGAATAATTCTAGTTAGACTCACTGCTGTCAAAAAACAATCTTGTCATTAGCATCAAAGATCATGTCTTTTCTGTTTATCCTGGTCTTCTGACCACAACTTAAGTAAATTGTGGATATCTCCTCCGTTGGAGGTGTTCAAGGCCAGCCTAGATGTGGCTTTCAGCAACATGGTCTAGTGGGAGCTGCCCTGCCCATGGCAGGAAGGCCAGCACAAGATGGTCTCTAAGGTCCTTTCCAACCCAAATCATTCTATGATTCTATGATTCTAAGATAGACAAGACATGACTTTCCTCTTCAGATGTTGTGTGGGCTGAGATTCGTCTGCAAGCAATCTGGACTCTGAAGAGGTTAAATCGCCTATTGATTGTGTTCATTTCACTCTATTGGCAAAAGAAGGATTACAGCAAATAAATATATATTTTTTCATTTCAGCCAGTTTCCTTATGTATGATGGAATTAATGTTCAGTGTAGATAATGTACTTTAGAAATAAAGACACAAAGCTTTTCTTTTTTATTCTCATGAAAGAAGAGCATTGAAGCAATAAACTGGCTCTCATAATGGAGAATCTTATTTAAACATACAGAATTATGACATTAATGTTAGGTTTATGTGATTTTTCTGCATAAAATACACCTCGTTCAGGATTGCTGCTGGTGAAATCCTTTGTTAGAAAGTGGGCCAGAAAATATTCAATGAATTGAAACACAGCTGAACTGGATTTATTTAAAATCGAAATGAATATTCATTTACTGATTTTTTCACTGTTTTTCCCAGCTGCAGTTAACAATACTTAGTTCTCGTGTAGTGATTTTTATCCTTAGAGCACTTTCAATATATTATCCAATTAATCATTATCTAATTAAGCTGAGTAATTAGCACTGAATTGCATTTAGAATATTAATTAAGATGTAAAGCAAACTTAGAATTGAAGTGTAGAATTTCAAACTTAATTTTTCAGACATGCAAATGTTTGGCCAGTGATTATAAAGAGCATATCTAATTTTATTTCAGTAATATTTCAGCAGAAAGAAAGAACATATAATAATAACAAAAAGGCTGTCAAATGTTGATGAAATACAATAGATAACTAACCTACTTTCTGCTTAGTCTGTGTCATATGTGTTAATCAAATATCCTGTGTTCCTTTCATACCAGATAGTGGAATAGAATGCTGCAATTTGCTTTCTAATAAATACGCCAAAAAGGGACAATGCTACATGCTTGAAGCATTGCTTGGCTGAGTATAACTACTCTTTTTGACAACATTGATTTTTTAATTTCATTTCTGATTAATTATTAATAATTTGGATAAGGTGATAGTAAAAACAATTGATTTCTCCTGGTGAGCATCTGAAAGGTCTAAATTCTGGTTTAATGAGGTCATCCTTTAGGTTTTCAGTTTAATTGAAGCACATTCTATACGAACATATTGAAGTATCTAGATCTGCTGTTTGTATTTCAAGTGCATATGCACTTTTAGTATAATCATTGTCAATGGGGTTTCAAAGTCGTATATATCTTAAATATAAATTTGTGGAAAGATTAGCAGTAGGAGACAGTAAGTTGTTTGCTGGGTATCTTCAAATTAGTGATGTAATATAATTGTGGCTCATTTTCTTCATCCTTTCAACAATACTAGCACATTATTAAATGGTTACTTTGAAGTAACCTCTAATTACACATAAAATACTTACAAATTTTACAGAAGAGACAGGGATGAGTGGTGGTGATTAGCCACCATCCTCAAGTATTACCACGGGAAAATGAGGTGGGAATAAATTTTACCTATGCTCTCCAATAAATGGAACCCAGTCTGTGTAGCTCATTTATAGATACGTGTACTTTTGATGTCACATTTAGTCAGATTAGTCAAACCCTATGCTAACTGCACTAATAAGAATATCTGTAGAGAGAACAGGATCCATTTTATCATAACTACATGGATTACACAAACTTGCTGAGGTGGACAACCAGGAATTTGAAGTTCAGCATTTGAGAGCAAGATTTCTAAGAGAAGAAATGATTTCCATCAACTTAAGAAGAGAATGCTCTGAAACTAAATAGTGACAAAAATTATTAGTTATCTATAGCATAGATAACCAATACTGAAATAGCTTGTTTTAGACTGCATAATTTTAGAAAATACAGGATTTGTTCCTTCTGCCAAATAAAGATTAACACAAATCAGTAAATGAGTAAAAATCTGTTTACACCTGATAGTGGAAAAGAAAATTATGTGTGAAGTTCATTTATATTCCATTAACTATACTGCTTTAAATCCAAAATGAAAAAAAAAAAAAAAAAAAAAAAAAATCACAGACTTTAAATGGCAAAATTAACTCTTGCTGTCAAGAGACAATTAGATCCCTCGGCATGCTTGTTTAAAAAATGAAAATGTTGGAATGATTGTGACAAAATGGATTTTCATATCTTAATATTCTTCAGTTTTAAACTGAAAAACACTTCCTTTTTATTTTCAGTGTCCCAGTAAAACATTTGGCGGCTTTGACTCTACCAAGGACCTTCCTGATGAAGTTATAACATTTGCAAGAAGTCATCCAGCAATGTACAACCCAGTATTCCCCATCAACAACCGTCCAATCATGATTAAAACGGATGTAGATTACCAGTTCACACAGATAGTAGTAGATCGAGTGGATGCAGAAGATGGTCAATATGATGTTATGTTCATTGGCACAGGTGAGAAGTTTTGAAACTATGCTGGGTGTTCCTCCAGGCCTTGCAAAGGCATAGATCAGATATAATTTCATATTCTGAAAGACAGAATGCTGGATTGTTCCAGTGTTTACCCATGAAAATCTGGGGCAAGACTCAAAACTGTGTGGGGAGGCCTTTGTTAAATGCATTTGTTACAGGTTCAGACTGTGTTGCTTAATTCTTTAGGAGCATTGCCAGCTGGAGTAAGATCAAACCACTCTTTCCAACTACTTTTATTAGGGAATTTTATTAGAAATATTTTGCCTTACTAATTATAATTTAGTATTAAAATGGAGTTTTTGAGGTACCCATTTTGAAGCACATCATAAGAAACATTAATGAATGAGGAATGTTTCCAAGTAAGAAAAATGTCTTGTGTGCCATTTAAGTATTTTAACTATTGCTTTAAGATGCCCAGTTCTTTAGCCAGTAGAATAGATCATTTTACCTAAGATGCAAATATCTGGCACATAAAAAGTGTTTTAAGAGGAGGTAGTATTTAAATAGAAACATGATATCCTTTCCCAAGCCTTGTAGAATGATACATCTTGGGCACTTTGTCAAAAGTAGAAATATGCATTCAGAGAATACAATTTTCCCAGAAAGGTAATAATGAGAATAACAGTGGTCAGGAATTAGCTGGTGTGCATTTGCTTAATTTCAGTGGCTTCCATAGACCTTTGCTGATTCATATTTGTGGATCTCCTTCTTCACCTGTGAAAATGTTCCATTAATTGGCTAATGTTTCAGTTATGTTGAATAGAAGTATTTCAAACTTTTATTGAACATAATTGCTAATAATTAGACATTAATATCATGAATTCAAACAAAAACAATCCTCAAAGCAACTGTTTCTTTTCAGCTTTGACCTAAAAAATATCTGTCTTGCTCTCTGTCTTATAACAGTCAATTTCTAATTTTCATACAGTTCTGATACTCTAGACCTGGGGTCAGATTTCCAAAGCAATAAATCTCAAGATCTCTTTCATGTTGATGTCTGAAATATATTATGAGAAAACTGAGATCTGATGAAGCTTTGTGTACTAAAGACACTATATGTGTAGCAATTCAGAACATGTATTGCAGGATGTGCAGCTCTACAGAAAGAGCTCCAGCTCTTTAAAGCTAGGAACTGAGTTATCAGATGCCAGTGTTACAATATGTTCTTGCATAAAACATTGAAAAGTAGTTTCATATGATTTTACACAATTCTTACATTTTTCTATCACACACTAAATGGTTTAATGCAATCTACAATTGGCAGTGTGTCATGCCTTTCAACAAGTCTTCTATGACACAATTCAGCCCCCAGAAATATTAATGGCAATACTCCCCTTAGCTGTGGCATGAGGAAACAAGCCCTTCAACATCAAGGCTAAGACACTAAAAAAACATAAGGAGCTGATTTATGTCTGCATCTTGAGCACAAGAAGTGGCATTTATCTCAAAAAGAACTGGCATTCTGTCTAAGAAAGATGTCTTGGTTTCTGCAAATGAGAGATAAGTACTTGCAGAGGGAGGTTCATTGTACTCTCATAGAAACCTCTATCAGACTAAGACAAGCAGTTATGCAGGAGTTCTCGTCTGTTTTCAAACAGTGCAAGAATACTTACTTAAACCTGAGATATAACTTTTGGACAGTTATGTATGACTGTTCTTATCTAAATCAGCCAGGCAAAGTCTCTCTGTAAAGAAGCTTCAATATCTAGCTCTTGACTTTGAGTTGGGAATTTAGGCACTTAGTTCTCTAAACCACCAGTGTTCAGATGTGTGATGAGTCTTCTGGATCCCATCCAACTGCTGCTATTTGTATCCAAGACTTCTAAGAAAAATATTGAAAAGTTATTACTTGCACTTACCAAAAGAGATTTCTGCACCAAAAACACAGCTTTGTGACAGTGCTATTACTTCCTGAAATACCATCTTTGGTCATCAAAACTGCTCTTTTTCCAGCAGGCTTCACTCTCATGGGACAAGAATAGGCATTAAAATACCCATGCTTAGAGCTGAGGTACAAAGGATGTTCTCAGTAAACTGACCCTATTGCAGTTTTCAGACTGAGTAAAGGACATGTTCCATGCAGAGGCTAAATGAAAGAGGCAGAACTAAGGCCCTGTCTTCTTATTTGCACTGGTCTGAACTGAACTGGCTGCTCAAATTGAAACCAGAAACAGATACACAATCAGTACATATTGCATCTTCCCCAAACAAACCAAACAGATCAGGGACCCGAGTCACAATGCAATTTTGTATCTGATGACCTGAAACTATGGCAAAAATAAAGTTAAGCTCTCTGGGATATGGCTGGAATTTTTCTATGTAAGTCTCTCCCATCAGATTAGGTACTTACATTCTTCGTATTTTCCCAATGCCCTGGCAGAAATCTACATTATTCCCACATGCTGCTGAATTTCAGCATGTTGAGGAAATACTTTTATTTTACTTTTCTTTTTGTTGAACAACTGATGATAATTGAACATAACATAATTAATAGTCATCCAGTGTGGTCACATTTTCCTTTCCTGTGGGTGAAATCTTCAACCAAGCAGTTTCTTTCCCACCGTGATTGTACCAGTGTTTCACAAAGGAAATAAAATCATATCGGAATGCTTGAAATTATATCAGAAAAACAGGATTTAAGATATGCACTTAATGCATATCCTGAGCGTCTGATGTGTGGGATCATTTGGCACAGTCAAGATATATCTGTCAGTAAAGCAAATTAATAAGAGTAATCTTATCTTACTCAGCAGAGCCTATTGATCCTAAAGGAGAAGCTTGATTCCATTTGTGTGAAATTGTTTGAAACACTACTCAGGAAAACTTGATCAGGAACTGAGATAAAGCTCCACTTTGGTACCTGTGGCCTGACCAGAGTTGCTATAGGGATTAACTTTGACCTCAGAGGATTTCTCTAGCGTTAAGTGCCTTTAATTGTTGCAGAATCCACTTAAAACAGACTTCTTTTTTGAAACAACAACTTATGTCTATTCAGTGCCAACTCAGGTCCATAACTTCAGTTGTGCTATTTTTTTCAAAAATGCACCTATATTTCTGTAATCTAGAATTTGAAGGATTGCAACTGAGAACAGCCATAACCCAACTGAGCATACAGGCATGATAAATTAGTACACTGTTATGTGTATTAAAGCACAATTCTCTCTTTTACCCGTACAATATATTTTCCTCAAAACCACAGCCATCAAATTATCAAGGTAATTAAGGAAATGAACGCATCCATAACATTACAAATGTAACTAACATTAAATTATCTGTTCTACGTTAATCTGTTGTAGAAATGGTGCTGGTTTTGATGTTCATATTGCATTTGCTCTGTAGTCTTCTCACTGCTTCTAAAATTAAATATATTCAATTTGTGGCAGTAACCATAATGAAAACCACTTCCAAAACAACTTATCAAGTATCACTTACTAGCTTAATTTGCACATTCATCTGCCTAAATAGAAAATGTGTTTTTTTCTTTGTGTTTTTTTTTTTTTTTAAGATAGAACCCTTTGAGTTGTTTTTTGTTTGTTTGTTTGTTTGTTTCCCCTTTTTAAAACAAGAACTATGAATTTATGATAAATGAATGAAAACAGAGATGGAGATATTTTGTGATGTCTGAAAAAAAAAATAAATTCTGAAAATAAAATATTTCCTATGAAGAATATGGAATAGCAGAACTTTCTCATGAAAGTGGCTTTTAAGTTGCTCAACTTACAAAGATAAATAAATAAATAAATAAATAAATAAACAAATAAATAAATAAACCATGCCATTTAATCTGCTTCAATTTTACCTGTATTTTTAATTTTAAAAACAGTGAGAAAACAATGAGTTATCATTTGTTTTTTTTAATCAGAAGTTTCAACAGATACACATATATGTATAAATTTGTGCTTTTATATCTCAATGCTTTTTTATTTTGAGAATGCTGATCTTTACAGTTCTGTTATTTCAAGTATTTTATCAATTTTAAAATGCTTTATATTTTCCCAGAATACATATTATCAAACATCCACAGAGATTTTTCTTATATTTACACGTTACAACACTTCGCTGGTTAAAAAGAGAAGTAACACGCAGAGTTGTTTACATTTCAGTGAGTCTCAGTGATGTGTACCAACCTAGAAATGATCTTTTTCTTTTTTTCCCCTTGCAGATTCTGTTAATAAAAACAAATAAATAAATCACAGATGCAGAAGCAGTAAAACAGAGGTGGCCCTAAGTTACAAGCAATTTCACAAAACCAGAGGCTGTAGCTCTGAAACTTCAAGTCTTGGCCTTGTTCATGTTAAAGGCAATTGCAAAACCCCCAGAAATGTAGATGGATATAGTGTGAAACTTCTGTCACACACCTATTTCTGATACTGAAGATACAAGTTGCATTGCTTTTTATTCCTCAGTGAAGACTAGTATCTAAGTCACAGAGAAATATAGATGCCTTAAGGAGCTTATACATCTTAGGTACTTTGTTTGACACAGGGATGATAGTATGTACTTAGGAGATCTAACATCTTCATCTGTCTAACAGCATTTATCCAGATGTTTTTGTATCTATACTAAGCCTTTTGACAGCATCTTCACATGCATTTTAAGAATGACAAACATACTTCAAAATGGACAATAAAACATTGCTGGGTGAATTTAGTGCTTTTCCTTCCTCAATTAAATGACTGAAACATCTGTCATTGTATACTGTCATTAATGTCTTGCCCATTTTGGGAGTGATAGAATACTATTTGTCTTCTTGTTACTTTTGCAGAATTTTGATATTTAAAAAATTTCAATCAAATGCTCTATTGAAAATCAGTGTTTTTCCAGAGTATTTTAAATAGCAGTTGGCATTTGAAAACAAGTGTGCAGTGGTATGTGGCTTCACAATCTTTATATGTGAAATAATTACATACAAGAGATTCTGACTGCTTTGAAGTAGAAGTATGCTTCTTAAGCACCTGAAAACACTTTTTTTTTTTTTTTTTCTTTTTTTTTTCCCCCTTTTCAAGATATTGGAACAGTTCTTAAAGTGGTTTCAATTCCTAAGGAGACTTGGCATGAATTAGAAGAAGTCTTGCTGGAAGAAATGACCGTCTTTCGGGTAAGTGCAGCTAAATTTCAAGTGTCAGGTTGTAGATTTCTCAGTGGACAGCTGCAAACTGAACTTCTTGCAGTCTAGCCAAGGAATAACCTGGCATAACCCTCTAATTAGCTTGTCACTTACAAATGCAGATGCTAGTCAAAATAAACCTTGAAACTGTCAGTGCTAGCTGAAGGTTAATGATAAAGAAATGGTATTCTAGGCTCTTGTTTTGTTGTTGAAACACAATTTTGTATCAGTGAATCTTACGGACGTTACATGCTGTAGATACATGCACAAGTTTGGCAATAATGCCTGTCTCTTTTCTTCCACAGAGATACACAATAGAAGAATTGTATAGATGCATAAAAACTCAGTTTAGATAATCCACATAACATAACTGTAGGAAAATGTCTCAGGAAAAACACTGATCTTCACCATTATCTTATGTTTAATAATCTCAGAAACAAAGTGTTCATATTTTCAAAGGCAATTGAGAGCCTTATTTTCAGAGTTTCACAGAAGACACCATAAACGCTCCCTAATTGTTAACACTTTTTTGTGAAAATAAGTTTCTTCCAGCTTTCTAGTCTGAGCTACTTAAAAAATATGGCATCATGCAGGCATTCCTGTAAGTTGAGGCCAAGTAAACCTTTCAAACACTTTGCAGACAGATCCCAGGGATGTCTTGTGTTTTGTACTCAACAACAAATCATTTACATTCCCTACATTATTCTTTTAGTCAGTGCTGTTTTATGTCACTTTTTAAAACGCCCCAGGCTTTAGTGGGCTGATACCTGGCCAAGAGCACCAAGTTGGTCTGACAAGCATGAAGATTACATGTACATGGTGGGTGAGCCCCCACATTGTGTGGTGTCACTGCAGCTGTTCTGTCGAGGGCCATACTCAGAAGCAGCCACTATGTACTGCTTCTGAGCAGATACAACATACCAAAAAAGAGCATATTAAAATGTATGGTTTTTTTTTCCTCCCCATGATTTTCTCTCTTTCTTTCTTTCTTTCTTTCTTTCTTTCTTTCTTTCTTTCTTTCTTTCTTTCTTTCTTTCTTTCTTTCTATCTACCTACCTACCTACCTACCTACCTACCTACCTACCTACCTGCATTGTATTGGCCTTTACTTCACTGAATCATAGGATCATAGAATCATAGAATCATAGAATGGCCTGTGTTGAAAAGGACCACAGTGATCATCTACTTTCAACTCTCCTGCCACGGGCAGTGTCGCCAACCACCAGATCAGGCTGCCCAGAGCCACATCCAGCCTGGCCTTGAATGCCTCCAGGGATGGGGCATCCACAACCTCCTTGGGCAACCTGTTCCAGAGCTTCACCACCCTCTGCGTGAAAAATTTCCTCCTAATATTGAACCTGAATCTCCCTTATCTCAGTTTAAAGCCATTCCCCCTTGTCCTATCACTTCCACCCTTGTAAACAGCCATTCCTCCTCCTGTTTATATGCTCCTTTCAAATATTGGAAGGCTTCAGTGAGATCTCCCCGGAGCCTTCTCTTCTCCAAGCTAAACAAGCCCAGTTCCCTCAACCAGTCTTCATAGGAGAGGTGATCCTATGTGGTCCTCCTTTGGACTTGTTCAAAGTGCTCCATATCCTTCCTACACTGGGGGCCCTAGGCCTGGATGCATTATTCCAGATAGGGCCTCACAAGACCCAAGTACAGGGGGACGATCACCTTCCTCTCCCTCCTGGCCACTCTTCTTTTAATGCAGCTCAGGATATTGTTGGCCTTTCAGGCCGCAAGAGTACACTGCTGGCTCGTGTCCAGCTTGTACCAACCTTACACAAAGACCATTGTGTTGAGTCCTGAAAGGATGGGTATCTCTGTTTCTAAGATTGGGTTTTCCTGAGGGCAATTTTTTTTTTCTTCCTTCCTCCCTTCCTCTCTTCCTTTCTTCCTTCTTCCCTTCCATTCTTCCTTTCCTTCTTTCCCTCTTTCTCTCTTTCTTTTCTAAACGCCAACTATGAACAGATAACGAGACAAGTAATTTGTGGCTCCCAGCTTTTTTGTTTCTTGTACATGTAAAAGTCATTACATTAATGCAAGGTAATTTGGCAATTGTTGATAATGTATGAGTCTCTTCCCTAAATCAAATAAAAGTGCCAAGCTAAAGGAGATTAAAGAAATATAAAAGTGAAAGAAAGGAGATAAATGGAATGAAAGTTTTATTTCAGACAGTCTTTAGAGAAATGCTATGGATAATGGCAATGTCAGATTTGTTATTTTACTTTATGTATGTATTTATTCACTACACAAAAAGATTTTGGTGTTCTGATTTTCTTGAAATCTCATATTTATCATTTGGCATACATTTAAACCTTAAAGAGATCATTAACATACTTTGGTGCAATAAACAGAATTTGTGTGCATAAGATATATATCTTTCAATAGGGAATTGCAATTGATTTTAAATATATTTTAACCAAATTTAAGTTTTCTTTAGTTGCAAAAGAGTCTTACATTGCAATTTGTTGAATACAATGCTTTTCATTTATAACTCCACCAAACCTAGTCTTCCATATCTGTTACATTGATAACAAATTCCTCTTTTAACCCATCTGTGCAATATTTCTCTGAACAGCTGAACAAACAAACCCATGAGTTCAATTTTCATACAAAAGTTACACTTAATTGATGCTTTCTAATGTAAGCTCTATTAACCTATTTGGAAAGGCAGACCCACATGTTTAACATCCACCAACCCATATCAAATTCTCTCTGGATAAGCAAGTTAAAAGCTACACAAGTGTGAAAGCTTAGTGAGAATGTTATTAATTTACATAATGAAAAGCATGATATGCCAATAGTAAGTTTTTAGATGAAATAATATTCATATAGCACTGACTTGAAGTCATAGAGTACCAAATGATGTCACTTTTACTCCCGGGAGTAAATTCATACAAGCAGCCAGGCCTAAAACATAGAAATAGTATACTTTTAAGCAGATCTAAATATACTTTCTGTATTAAGTACGTGTTACAGCCTCTTATTTAAGAAAGTAGCTATTGGTTTGACATCTGACTAATACAGGTGACTATAATTAACAGTAGATGCAGCTAGGAGTGGAGTAATAATAGGTATTTGAACACTAAAAAAACCTCTGGCCTATTTTTGCTCTGAATCCTGCAAATATCAGTAACTCATTTTGTATGAGAATAGTGCAGCACAGTTAACAATATTAGGCTTGTGATTATGGTTTGATCTTACAAATAAGATTTTGCAGGAAAGTTTTTTTCCCCCTTTGTATGGTTAAAGGGCATTGTATATTTCAGTGTTACAATCTACAATGTGTTTTGATACATCATTATTTTCATATTTTCTGAGACATTCTTTAAATAAGCTTAAATTTTAATAGCAGAATTTAATTTCAAAATGAGAAATAAGTAATCACTTTAAGAGTTTGGAGACTGTAAAAATCATATGAAATGATACTTCTACAATCATAATTACAGAGATGTATATGGACATGTATATTCTAATTCACTTACGAGTAGAAAATATACCATGGCAAAAGACAACAAGAATCATCATTATTAAGAAGCACCACTACTAATTACAGCTTTTCTAAGTTACGCCAATTCTGGCAGAATTTATGTATTTAAATAACCATTTTATACTTTAAATCTTTTTTTTTTTTTTTTTTTCTTTTTCTCTCTCTCTTAGGAACCCACTGTTATTTCAGCAATGAAGATTTCCACAAAACAGGTACTGTATCCACAAACTTTAAATCACTTTTAAATATTTATTGGTCTCTGTCTTTTAGACAGTAACTTGGCAGTCAGTGGAGATATACATTAGTTACAGTAGCAGTACCCCTTTCCTTTACATAAACAGCAATATTTTCTCAGAAGAATGTAACACATAAATCCAGTAGGAAAAACCTAGCTTGTGTTGCCTACTAGTAAGGTGTAAACTAAACAAACTAACCTTCTGTCTGGAGGCTCTCAAGAAAAAATTGCACATTACTGAATTTTCTTATGACTGAAAATCTTCTAAAAGAGTGGCTAAGCTTGGTACCTTGCTTTAATGGGGCTAGTGTCTACTGTCTGTACTATTAGTAGCAAATTTTACTAACTCCAATGCTATAAATAAAGATTCAGTTCATGTGACAGGTCCCTGGCTCTGGATAGGCATGGAAGTAGTATTGGAAGAAAGTATCACCAGAAAAATAATCACCAGAACCACTTCTGCTGCCACTAGAAAAGAGGTTGAGGAATATGAATAAGCACAGGATAAGCAGTAGGATGAATAGCGTGCAGAATGGCTTCCCTGTGAGGAGACACTAAGTAAACGAAGACTTTTCAGTCTGTAAAATGGTGCAGTCTACAAACAGGCAGAGACATAATGCAAAGGACTATATAATACAGTATGGCAAAATCATGAGATGCCTGGCTTCTGTTCTCCCCAGAGGCTAATTAGCTATACAAAATAAGCAAAAGAAGATACATATCAACAGAACATTCTCTGTGGAACTGATCATGGCATACAGTTTTGCAGATACTTCAGTGGCTGAAAAAAGGGATTAGAATCATGGATTAAAGTATACCAGGCAGCACTGAGGATAACCATGCTACTTCTACTTTAGGAAGCCCTTAAGATATTGTTTGTTGTAGACTAGGACACTCTAGCCTACTTAAGCTAGATGTATATCACTTCCATTCAAAACAAACAAGTAAACAAATGAAGAAATATTCTGTAATAATCCACTACAGCAATTTGTTCACACGCATTAATTTTACATTGTCATTGTCAGTATTAAAGAGATTTGGTAATACATGCTCAATTGGATGCTTTAATAGTTGTATGTATTCTAAATAAGACTTAATTAACTCATTTACCTGTCTTTCTACATTACTGAACAGAGCCCAGTATTCTGTTTGAAATGCTGCCTATTTGACTCAGAATATACTGTATATAGGAAAGTTGTCTGAATAAACTCATGTATTTGACAGAAAACATTTTGTTTGGGGCCACTTTTCTAACATCGTTTATCAACTAGAACAGTAAAAATGGCTGGACAAAAAAAAAAAAAAAAAAAGTACTATTGAATATTGAATATTGAAATATCTGAAAACAAACCTGTCAGGTTGTATATATACATACGTATGTTCACTCCATACCAAAATGGTCTGCTTTGGATTATTTGTATAAGTACATTCCCTTCAAGCAGCCAATCATGTCTGATAATAGGACTTGCATTTTAGTGTAATCGCTTCTTCAAAGCATCCTTAGTTATTCAGGAGAGATTATGATTTTTCCCAAGTCTTTTGAAAACAAATGTACACTGCTAAAATTGTCTAAATCTAAAAAAGAATGTAAAACACAGGTTAAACAGGCAAAGTTAAGCTCATGAAAAGTCAACCAGCCACAGGCTAAAAATGACAGCATTGAAAAGCTTTTGGCACTGTCTCTATGTATCAAATAAGTATTTGGCAACATGTTTTCATTATATATTTTTGATTTCAAAATACTGTAGTTTTACTATTCAAACACTTTACTCATTTTGTTTCAATTAGCAGGGTGTTTTTCATATAAATGGCACAATAATTCTGTGCTGCGCAGAAAGCAGGAGTATAAAATTTAAACAGTGGAACTAGCATGTCCTACTAATACTTTCAAAAATATCACTTTATTTTCTTCACTAACAAATCATGAAGTTTCTTCTTATTTTTGAATATCTTACTACACTAGATGTTCAAAGCTACCTCTTTTGCTATCATGTCAAAATTATATATTACAAGAGAACCTTCTTCCTAATAACCAAATCCTTCAAGTTCTTCATGAGAATTTAGTTGAAGATTTAAATGATATAAAGCTCTAAGGCTTCCATGCCTCTGTAAGTAAGTATAAATTCTGATCCTTGAGAAAGAGTGACTTTCAGCAATTCAGATATAAGCCTTCTAAGGTCTGCTGCCTTTAACTAACTAGAATTATATTTACATTTTTTCACTGAAGCTACATATTCCTCCTGAGTACATACTTCATGTAGCATTATTACTTGAATGACTTATGCATTTACTAGTAGACACAGACTTTATTAAGACAGCATCCTCTAATACTCTACAGCCTCTAAAATTCACAGTTCTGTGAGAGCCAGGCCTCAAGCAAGCCCCGGGCTGCACTTGGCCCTGAGTCTGTCCAGGAGGACTCCATAGTTTTTCATTACATTAAAAAAAAACAACGTGGATGTAGGGAGCGTATGGAAAGGGCCAGTTGATAATGCTTCTATCACTTAACAATTTTTTGAACTCCTCCGCATCAGATAGTTCTATTTCAAGACATAAAACAGAATTCAGTGGGATTTGAGCGTCCTGTTCTCTAAAGTTTTTTTTTTTTTTTAATTGTGCTTAAGTTCTTTGTTTTAAACATTCACATTTTTCATCTCTTACTAACTTTTGATTTGTTAACTGCAGATGGAGAATTCTCAGCTCCATCTTCCTTCTAACACTAGGGAAGAATAGCATTTGGGGCAGCACATGGGGTAGAGAGATCACTAGATTGCTTAAAATATTAATCTCCTCAAGTTTTCTGGAGCTCTGATATTTCTTCAAGGATTTTCAGAGGGCTACTTTCTTTTCAGTCTTTTTTAGTCTTTTTGTTTTTTGGCTTAGTTTTTTGTTGTTGTTGTTGTTTTTTTCTCTAGTTAGATCTGATAATCAACTGATTTATTAAATTGAAAACCTCTTGCGAGAGACTCCTTGCCCAAAAGGCAGTTTGTCTATATATGGCAAAGTGAGGTCAGACCACTGATACAAATCATTCTATTGCAACTTTCCAAATTTGAATTTATATATTATTATGTCCAGAATAATGATCACCAGCTGGAATCTAAAACTGATGAGAAGAAGAGCAAACGGCAGAAGCCTGCAGGCTGTGGAGCACCTGAAACATAGGCTATAGTTCAGTGAATGAACTTTATGAACTTACCTAAAAGAAATAGATTCTTTAAGTAACCATATTTTGGCTTCTCTCTCCTTCTCTCTCTCTCTCTTTTTTTTTCTTTATGCATTTTTTGTCCTCAAATTCTAAAGACATTTATTAGAAATCAGGTAGGTATTTTGGCAAAGTGAAATTAGTTACAGAGATACGTAGGAAACTATTACACCACACTTTATTTTCCAAAATACATTCTCCAGGTTCATTGGTTCATTTTTATATTGGCTGCAACACATGTTGCTACACACACACATGCACATGTATATATTAATGCCCCAATTACATAGGACTCAGATCAATACCATCTGGACATTTAAGATGCTTAAGTGAAGCTTTAATTTGACCTATGCTGCCTCTATAATCAGTAAAGAGAAAAAGCATCCCTTGAGAAATATTTAGGTCACCTGAGATTTGAATTACTGCTCTTTTTACTACAGAATGTATCCCTAAGCTGGGAACTTCATTAAGTAACTTAAGTTAGGCAGAATCAGCCCATCATGTCCGTTGCCTGTCATCTACTTGTCAACGATACAACTCTAGCTGGGGACTGTTATGTACACTGAAGGCTTTGTGAGGAGCTCTGTGTGGTCAGAGATTTTTGCCCAGAAGAATGTGGTTTTACAGTCCAGCTAAAGCACTGTAATAGATGGAAGCAGCTGCTTAGATAGGTCTTAGTTTTCTATTTACCAAAGCATTTGTTTTCTTTTGGGTACTTTACTTGTCATATTTTCCTTTAGAAATTACTGAAGTTTATGTGAAATAATGGGATGTTTGTGTTATAACTAATATGTCTGTAAAAACTGCCAAGCTGCTGTCTTTCAAAGAAACTAAAACAACACCTTTTTGGAGCACTTTTGTGTTTTCTTTCTCCTGCTATGCAGTGCACATCCTTTTCAGCACATAGTTAACTTCAGCCACCTTCCATTCCAGGATTCTGTAGAAGTGATACCTCTGGGGCATCACAGTGCAAAAGATGAAGAATTTTGATAAAATTTCTTGAAAGCCTATTTTTCACACCAACCTCATGTTTTCTAAGATTGAAAAATAAGTACAAATATCCAGTTTTACAGTATGACTGCTCAGTGAGACCTCCAAAAAAAAAAAAAAAAAAAAGTCATTTAATTTTTATAAATCTATTTATTTTATTTTCCCCTCGTTTACTATCTCAGAGTGAATTCTATTTGCTTACTACACTCACACTTGTTTTCTTTGCAAATTAGCCCTAAGCTGAAATATCTCTCTTCAGAATTTCACATAGGATCAGTAGTTCAAGTTTCCTCTTGTCTCTCTTGGGATCGACTTCCCTAATGGACCACCTGAATTTGAGATCAGAGAGGAAAATGACAAGTTATTCTATTATGATGCCAGAAAAGCTGTACCTTATTTTGTTTGCATCTCTTTTTTTCTTCATGGTTCTTTTGCACTTTTGAAATCCATCTCTCAAACACTGTTCCTTATCCAAAATAAAGTATGCCTTTCTCCTTCATTAAATATATGTTTCAATTGCAGTGTATAATCTGCAGAACATACTATGAAACTTCAGAATTATCAGACATGCAAGTATGGCAACTATTGCAAGCTTAAATTTCTCCATTACGGTCTGAAATCATTTCCTTTAAGACCCACCCAAACAAATCCAAGTCATATATAAGAAACTGAAGTTAAAGTTGTTTTCCTTTTTATTTAAAGTCACAGTTATATTCTCTACTGTTTTATGTCAATGACTGTAGCATTGTGCCAGTGTGGGGGTCTGAATACAAAGAAAAAAAATGAAAAGAAGAATTTTTCTTTTCTCTTTTCTCAGAAACAACTGAGAACTTCATACCAAAATGAAAGTTGTTCTTGTTTCGTTTTTACGCAGAAGACAATTTTATTTTCATTTATTTAGTGTACATCAGGGTCATGATTCCTTATTGCATTTCTAATGGCCCTAACATATTAATTTATATTTTAGGCTTTCCTCGCAAAACAAAAACAAACAAACAAAAAAAAGATTTTATTTTACTTTTTCACTTTTGTAACAGCAACAGCTCTACATTGGCTCAGCCACCGGAGTTTCCCAGCTTCCTTTACACCGCTGTGATATCTATGGAAAAGCATGTGCCGAGTGTTGTCTTGCAAGAGACCCTTACTGCGCCTGGGATGGTTCGTCTTGCTCACGTTACTTTCCCACTGCTAAGAGGTAGGGACAGTTTCAGATGTCTACATGGTTTACTATTTGTTTTTACTGATGATCTAAATGTGACCAGAGGGCTTTGGAGATTTTTCATGGGATGATTAGCTGGAGCCCATTCTTTTCCAAAGAAAACATAATTGTGGGAGCTACAGTCAATATGAAGCCTTGGTGGATTTAGAGGGAACACTGCTACTTCTTGGAGCGGATTTAAAAACTATTGGAAGCAAAACAAAGCAAAACAAAAAAACCCAGAGAAGAATAGTTTGTGAAATGGAGTCATAATTTTTTATTCGGTAATAAGCAGGAAGACGTAAAATTTCTTTTTCTTTCATATGTATTGATGAGTGACTAAATGCTCTCAGATCAGAACAACTGCTATTTTACTATCACTCTGCATTGGTGTTGAAGGTTTTGCAATGCAGAGGTTAGGAGAAATTGCAGAAAATGCAATTAAAAATACTTTTTAAATAAGAATTTACAAGTCTTATTGCTTGATCTGAAAATTTAAAATCATATTTTCTTTTTTTCCCTTTGTATATAAAATTATTTTTCTTAAAGCATACAAATTAGTTACTGAACTGCTGTTAGATATTGAAGGAGAAAATAGGAATAACTGAATTGATAAATGCTTTCAAATAAGAATGGCCATTGCTGTAACATCAAGATTCTTGTGATACATTGGCTAAAATGTATGTAAATGTGTTAACATTGAAGCAAATATGCCAAATAACCTATATTTATGAAGAAACAAGGTGCACAAGGATTTATATGCAAAAGGGCCCTTTATCTTGAAATTAAGGTTTATAAATACTTGATTGGGAATTTCAGGACTCCAGATTCCAGGTTTGGATTGGTTGTGTTAGGCAGTGGTGGTAGGGAGTGGGAAGTAGCATTTGTTTCAGGTTTTCAGATGGAGGGCATAAAGTTTCACTTTAGTGAAACTGTAGTTCACTACAATGCATCCTAAACAACTACTGATGACAAAAGAAAAAGCTGCTAATGAGATGCACATCAGATTCTTTTTTTTTTTTTTTTTTTTTTTTTTCCAACAGGAAGGGGTTAATCTGAGTTTTTCTGATATTCATTAGAATAAAAAAGGAGAAACCAATCTTATGCCAAAAGCAGAACAGTCAAGTTTTCTCAGCTGCAGGGGCTAGTTTCTAATTTGTGGTGGGAGGACAGCAGTAGTAGTAGAGAAGGAAGGAGAGTGACAAGAATATTTTCAAGGGGAGTCTGAGAGATCATATTGATCTGAAAGTTTGGATGACAGACTTCAGCATGGTTTAGTATTGCCTTTCAGTTGAGAGAGATGTTAGTAAGGAATCTCTTCTCTGTTACCTCCCAGCTAGTTCTATCCCTAAACCTCATCCTTCCTTCACATACCCTATCACCTGTCCTTCTTCCTAGCCTGTCTCAAAACTCACAGATCATATCATCCTGTTGTTCATCTTCTTACACTGAAAAAAAAAAAAAAAGAAAGAAAAAGAAAAGAAAAGAAAATAGAGCTTTTCATCTTTCCTTATCCCTTTCTCCAATACCTTAATTATCAGTCTGAGCTCATGTTTGCCATCAAAGGTAAGGGGACAGGGGCCTCTTCATACTGGGATTAAGGGGCAGGGTTACTGCTAAACCAGCTGTAGAAAAACCTTGTGGTACAGAAGTTACAATTCCTGAAGTCACTGCAAAAGAAAAGTTCTTTGAGGCTGGGGTCCTGACACTGCCTTCAGAAGGAGCCACTGTCCCCTGCAACTTTCTGTGCTGGTAGTGGAGAGGATCTGCTGTTTAACAGGTACTTTTTGTACCCACTGCCTCAATCCAGTTTAGAATGTATCTGTGACATTGTGCACTCATGCACAGGTGTTCTGGTTCATATTTCATAAATCATGTTGATACAATAGTGATATATGCAACATTTTCCTGAGATTCTAACTAAACATCAAATCCAAATTTCATTGACAGTGATATGAGTCTTTCCGCAGATTTTTTTTTTCCTACAAAATATGCTATAACTGTGCTGCCTTTCCAAATTAAGGATGGAGTAAAAAAAACTTGTACAGTTCCTTATGTCTTGGGGGTATTTTTATTCTTGAGTAATGACTAAGAAAAAGACGATATCTGAAATTAGCGTCAGTGCATTTTTTGAATCATATGTCAATCAACAAAAGTTTCCTTCTTATTGAAGTGTCCTAAGATGCCCTGATTTGCTAGAAACATTCTTTGTAGTTTTTACTCAGAACGATATCAGGAATGCACATTCTGCATTTAAAAATAAATAAATAAATAAATAAATAAATAATTATGTACACTTCTTGTACATAATTTCAGCTATAACATTTCAATAGGTTTTAATAGAAGAAAAGAAATAATCTAAAATCTTTCAGCCAAGAAGAGTCAGCTGTGCAGTTGATGGTGCCGCTGTGAAAACCCTCAGTACGAATTGATGCTGATCTCCTAAAGCCTGGGGAGGGAACAGAAGAGAGATGGTCTCTGTGCTGCACAACAATGGCTTTTTAAAAATGTGGGCTGTTGTCACAAGGGAGTGACCAACAGTGCTTTTTACAAGGCTACTTGACTTTTGCATATCCGTTGCTGGATGCCATAATCTGAAATCACAGCATTGTTCGGGAGCTTAATCCTCTTTGTTCTCCTCTAATTTTGCAAGCCCTTAGGCTTTCTCTGATTCCCAGACTAAAAAGATTGCACTTGAAACACATCTTTGTTTGCCTTATTCTTCTTTCCTTTTCAAGAACTCTTTTCTGTGGCTCAGTTGAATTTTGTGTAACAGCTATTTAAATAAAAATAAGAGCAGACAAAGAGAGAGCAACTAATGCAAAATTAAATTGTATTTAAAAGCTTTTCCTGTGAAATACAAAATTTTAAGCACAGATGAGTTTATTTGCAGAAAGAGCAAATGGAAATCAAATAGGAGAAACACTTAAACATCATTTTTAATTCTTTCTGTGAAAGTGTTTTATTCAGTTTATATTAAAGACAATGCCATTTGCAATACATACTGAAAAGGATGTATCAGCAGTGTTTCAGTGAGGTGTGTGGTGGCTGAGATGTTCTATTTAATTTACTTCAAACTCTGTAGAAAATACAACAATTTGACATTCTAAATAATGCCAAGATACTTGAAGTATTCTGTGTTTGCAGAAAAGCTAACAGATTCTTCATGCTTTTAGAACATGCTGAGCTGTACTGTTTATGCTTTGATACCTTAGCAGTCCCTGTATCTGTGAGTCGTCATGAATTTTTCTCTGATAAACATCACTAACAAAGTTAAAATAAACTTCCTAGGCTCCACACAAAAGGCATGTATTTACCAGTTGCTGAATACTTTAAAGACTGATGCTGCAAACTATAATGAATAATGAATAGAATATAGTAGGAATATGATTTCCTTCTTAATACTGTTTAGATGCATTTGTGATCCAAGTTACTGTACATGTATTCCATTTGTTGGCAAAAATGAATGCTGGCTATTGGGAAGGTTGCTAACAGTTTTCAAATTCAATATTTGCAGACGTACTAGGCGACAAGACATCAGAAATGGAGATCCCCTCACTCACTGCTCAGACCTGCAGCATCATGGTGAGTTATGGATATGGCTTACAAACATAGCATGAGGAGAGTAGGAAGTGCACAAATGGTTTATTGGTGAAATTGTCTTGAACTTTTAGTACAGATGAATACAGAGATACATTGTTGTCTTGTTTACTGCCATTGCAGTGGCCTGAAGCAGAAAATAAAGAATATTATTTTTGTTTTTCCTCAGTTAACCAATTCAATCATTTTATTTTCTCTGCTTTGTGTGTTATAATATCACATTCTTGGGCTAGGTGTATTACGTCAGAAAAAAACACATTGCCTTCAGAACATCAAGAACTATGAGAATGTTACTTTGTATCATTTGAATGTAATGAAGACCAAGCAAAAATTTTAACCACCTTTGCTAAATATGAAATGACCTTTATTGTAGGTGCCACACAAACAACCCTTATTATCAGGATGCTCATTGCAATAGGCCTGCCCTTTGTGCCTTCAGTATGAGTTTTGTTTGTCATCTTTTGCTTTTGCTGGTCATTTAATTTTCACATAATATATAGACCATATCTTCCCTTCTTGAATATCTTTCTGATAAACTTTCCTTGGTTACCAAAGTTACCAAAATCTTCAAAAGTTATTGACTAAGAAAATGAAAAATGTTCATTTTGCCTTATGTGTAGAGAATACTTGGGCAACACTTCCCTCTGCTGGAAAAAAACGGTAACTCATCTTTCTGTTATTTCTGTAGTAATAGCCAATCCACTGATGGATTTCTGGGATAAGTAAAACAGAGGTGGCTGAATCTGGAGATATCTCAGAATCCTGATGTTCTTCAAGTCCTTTTAACAGTAACAATGATTAATAGCCTGTTTGTACTTTTGTGTCAGCTATAGAATCACAGTATCAGAGAATGGCCAGGGTTGGAAGGGACCTCAAGGATCATGAATCTCCAACCCCCCCTGCCACATGCAGGGCCAATAACCTCCGCATTTAATGCTAGACCAGGCTGCCCAGGGCCCCATCCAATCTGGCCTTGAACACCTCTAGGGACGGTGCATCCAAACCTCTCTGGGAAGCCTATTCCAGTACCTCACCACTCTCTCTGTAAAGAACTTCCCCCTGACATCCAACCTGAATCTTCCCTCCCTCAACTTAAAACCATTTCCCCTTGTCCTGCCATTATCTAACCTTTCAAAAAGTCGATTCCCCTCCTGTCTGTACATTCCCTTTAGATACTGAAAGGCTGCAGTGAGGTGATATAATACAATATGTTTCATTAATATTTTTCTCTATATATTTCTTTATATTTTTCTTTATATTTCTTTAATCATTTGCAAAGCATAGCTAAACTTAATGTAGCTTTTCTTTTTACTTCATAAAACTCAGGGCAAGCTACTCATAGAGAAGAGCTTGGAATAGTGCATGAATGGACTGTGATCAATATGCGATTTGAAAACTCATGAATGCCCAAGTAATTTCATTTGGTTTTGTCAGCAAAGACCTGTACAAAGTTCACAATTTTTCAGTTGCGTGAAATCTAGATATACGTTCACAGTGTGGGTGAGACAATATTGCTAATCGATGGTGAGATGTCATTTTCAGTTCCCTGAAATGAAATTGCACCAGGCACTACATGTGGATGTTATTTGTGGAAGCAACATGTCTTAGACATTACCTTCACCTTTTTCCTGTCTCTATCATAAAAACTACTCACGATGAGGTAGACTACCAAAAGTCCAGAGGTTTTTTTTTGTTGTTTTTTTTTTTTTTCTTTAATTTTCTCTTCCTCTTGTTAGCTGTGTGTTATATAACCTTAGGTCTGTTCTTTATCTTTAGGTATAAAAAAAAACAAAAGAATTTCAAAACATTTTGCTTTTTTTATACCTTCCCTTAGTAAACATTTTTGTCTGATATCTTCTGTCCAAAGTAAATAGAGTCATCTGGGAAATTTTTAATGACAAAAATCATGAGAATTCAGGGTTAGGAAAAAGCTATCTTGTGCTATGGCTGACCACAAGGAGATTTAATGCAGCCTTGTTAAAATAGGCAAAGCAATGAAGTACGAGATATCTCTTAAATATTGTACTTAGTGGTGAAATGAAGATGGACTGATAGAAAAAAACAGTAAAAAATAAACCTGAGGAACTAGAGTTCTGAGTCCTAAATTTTAAGGATTTATTATCAAAATACTTAACACAATGAATGCTTTAGATTATTATAGAATTAAAATTTCTCTATATTATTTCTAAGTTTTATATCTATATTTTTTTTCCTACATTTGACATTTTCCTATGGAAATATGCACCATGCATTATACAGAGAACTACATGCTCCATAAACTCACTTTGCCAACTTATACTAACTTTTTTTTCTTGGCTATGACTAGTATTTTACTGGACAATGCATGTAGAATTGGATTTTCTATAGCCAAGAACAAACTCCAGCTTCTTTACACATTCTTCTGCAGTAACTGTCAGTTGTTTTCCCATGCAAACCTACAGAAATAAGAAAAAAGAACAATCTCTTAGTGTTTAACTTACTTACAAATGCATTGCAGAAATTTACCTAGGCTTCAGTCTGAAACAGTAACGCCTTTAATAGTGCTTAGTTTGCTCTGTCAATTGTCCTTTTGTGCAAATGTGTAATAAATAGAAAAGTACAGAATGATTACACAGCAACAACAGAGGAAGCTGAGGATCCTTATCTGCACAGGTGTTTGGGCTTGAATTTAAAAGCTTGATTCCTTTGTTCTAGCCAAGGAGCAAATTAATTTCAGTCATGTAGTAGTAATGCTATCAATAATTTATTAAGTTTGTTATTGTTGTCATTGGTTATGTTGTTTTTTTTTTTTTTGAACACCTTGTAAATGGAGAGGAATCTTAGATGAGTTATCCCAGAGGGAGCTCAAGGAATCACTTTCAATTCCTTTATACAGTCAGGTGCATTTATCTGCAAAGTAATCTTGGTAAACCTAGTCTTTCATACTTCTCTTGTTATGTCAGAAATTATGTATTTATCAGGGTAGTAAACTGATATTACTGTTGGGTTCATTTGGGGAACTACATCTCTCAGACAGGATTTTGGGTTGAATTTTACAACCAACTTTGTGACTTCTACAGTTTTCCAATTCTTCCAGCTGCTCTTCCAAACTTCCCAGATTTTCATTTTACTTCCTACTCTCTTTATCTTCTCCCTCACTCCAAAGCTGTTCTCTGATCCTGTGATTATGCCCTATTTCTATTTTACTTTCTTACACTCCATGTGTTCAATGTTACATGAATTCCTTAATCATTTCTGGACCTACCTTCTGCTCCCTTAAATCATAGAATTGGAATTTGAAGGATGTCTTAAATTCTTCTTGCCTCATTGCATGACTGTCACTTATACTACATTTTCTAGAGCTGTGAACGAATTTAAAGGGGTCTACTGCCAAATTCCATGGCTTGAATGCAGTGGACCCTATCCACAAAGAATTTTCAAATGATCAGAGCACTCGCCTTCAAGCAAACTTCCACAAACGCTATGACTAGCTTCTTAGATACTAAGGATATTCTAGGTATCTATTTTTTTCCTGAAGGAACATATTTTCGTACTTAAAATTACACTACTGCTCATCTACAGTAGGATCTTTGCCAAAGAAAGGATCCTAGGCTAAGTAAATTTCCTATTGGTTGTCCAGTGTGCTTCATCCCCGCATGTGCTGTCTTTTGAACCCAAGCTTAGCTAACAAGTTGCTTCTTGTTGTCTGTTTGAGGACTCGTGGCTTCCTTCTTACCCATGTGAATTCTGTTCCCAAATCAGAGGACCTAACTTGAATCAAAAGACGCAGGACACCTAGATCATGATCATGCTCTTGAATCTATACTCATGAGTTCATACTTAATCATTTCCATTTGCAATCTTTATCTTATCACTTTTAGTTACATTAGTTAATCTCTTAATATTTTTCTACTTCCTCTATTTTGCTGGCACAAATTTGCTCATGCTTCAGCTCAGATTTTTCCACTGTACATTCAGCTACGCTCACTTCCAGCCCGTTCCTTGCTGCTTTACTTTCTATTGCTTGCCATCTTCCTGGTTTGAGGATCCACTGACATTATTAAAAGGCATGTGGTTTCTGAGAAATGTCAGTAAAAAATTGCTTCAATTGCTTGTTTATTGTACCTCATTTACTTGCTGGAAAGGTTCACAATCCAACAGAGGAAAGAAAGCTAGCTCATTCCCTATTTGTTTAGTGTTTATAGGCCATTTGTTGCTTCCTTACTGAGAACTGGATAAGCACCAGTTAGTTTTCTGTCCCCCATCCCTCCTCCTATCCTCTATCCAGGCTGCAAGTCATAATGGAAAGACATGTAATTACTGTGTCAACATAAACCAGGAGCAAGATTTTATTTTTACCTTACAGCCCATGTTTGCTAAACATGACCAGTATGATAAAGTCAGAGTGAAAGCAAACACACCTTGACAGTGGACTTTTTGGATTTTAATTAGACATCATTTTCCTGTTAAATTGCATCAAAGGAAGTTGCTTGAAGATTTCCAGTACTACAGATCAAAAATGAGAAATTCAAATAATGACAAAGAAAGACAGAGACAGAAAACCCCTTAAGATCAACACAGTGTAAAATAGTTTACCAACTCCTTCCTCCCCATTTACTCTGTAGGATAATTGTACTGTTGCCATTTAAGTTCATAACAGCTTTTTAAAGAGCTAGGTGGAGAGCTGAAATACGATGCCTTACAGTCTCTGCGGTATTGGAGAAGAATCAAATATCATATAAGTCCTATGGCTAAGTGATATTTCCAGCAAGTTGATGAATATCTTGAAACATTGTTACAAAAGGAAGTAATTTGTTTAACTCTCTTTTTCCCCTCCCATAATGTCTGGTATATTAACCTCATTACATTTCCATAAATTAAATCAGTATGAGAGGAAATGATTAATTGAAAATTGTTTCCTCAAAAACATTATTCCTGGTCATTAACAACTTCAGCAATCTGTAGTGCCTTATAATCTAAACACATTATAGTATTTTTAAATAGTCTAATGTTTTATTACTTTTCTCTAAAACAGTACAATCATAGAGCCCAGGAGACATCATTACAGGCATTCTGCAACTACACCCTGAGTTTTCCCACTACTTACAATTGGCTATTAAAAAATCTTATCATGTCCTAGTTATCTTCCTTGATGAATAATAACAAAGTTTGAAGAAAATTTCATAATGAAATTAACTTCATATATTGAGATGTTAGCAGCTGTGAGGGTTTAAAACACACACACACACACAAACCAACTACCAGGGATTGTTACACAGATAAAGATAATAATGGAGAATTTCCAACAGCATGCTGATATGAAAAAGTTTGTCATTTAATTTTTTTTTTATAATGAAAACCTTAAGAGAGCCCAATTTGTAAACAAATGAATTTATTTTATAATTAAGACTTCTTTTCTCTTTCTTGGTCATTCCAATTTATTTATTCATTTATTTTTCCTTTACAGATAACCCAAGTGGTCAGACCCTGGAGGAAAAGATTATTTATGGAGTAGAGAATAGCAGCACTTTTCTTGAGTGCAGTCCAAAATCTCAACGTGCCATAGTCTACTGGCAATTCCAGAAGCAAAATGATGACCACAAAGTTGAGGTACAGCAGAAAAAATTAAGAGATGTAACTAGTCTTTTACATGAAGACATACTTGAATGTCAGCCCTTCCCAGAATGATTCCTATCTATATTTCAGTTTGAAGAAGTTTTTCAGGAATCTTTTAAAGTCTCCAAGGAGATTTGCAGACTTAGATTAGAAAATGTTCATACACTATCCCTGGTCACATTCCCTGAAAAACACACTGTTTTTCATTCAAATATTTCAGATTTACTCATGTTTCCTTTCACAGATGGTCCATGCTAACATGCCATGTTGAATTTAAATATTGCAAAGACCTGAAAACCAATTCTGGAAGAAAAAACAAACAAACAAACAAAAAACACAAAAAAGCATCCCTGTAATTACTAATTATTCTGTTTGACTTTGTGAAAGGTAGTTTAACAGGAGCATTCTCTGTGCTCTACTTGCTCTAAAACTGAACTACAGGTAATACAGAGTCAGAAAGAGGAATTGGGAAATGTAGCCCACTCAAGGGAATGAAAACTTGTACACCTTTTTCATCAAAAGCAATATTCATAGCGGCAAAAATACGGACTTTCTATGCTTGCATTACTCAAAGCTAATAATTTATTTTCCTCCTTCTCTTGTCACCAGCATTCTTACATTATTACTCACCCAGGTTCTCAAGTCATCTTAGTGTCAAGCTAGGTCACACATGTCTTAAGAGAATAATCTACTCTGGTATGAAGAGAAATCAAGTTAGGAAACAAAAGCTTGTGTGTTGCATTACAGTTTTTGGAAATATACACAGACTACACTCTTTTTTAAAACATCTACTAACTACTTAGTTAAATAAAAAGATTTATATACTTTTGCTTAATACTTTATTTGCATGAATAGAAAATTATCTAGAATTTATTCTTTGTGGAGACAGCAGCTAATAGGTTTTATGCCTTTTTTATTTACAACTCCACATGGATTCGTAAAAAGAGGATATTTTCCTAGATGTCAATTCACTCAGAAATATAAAATATTTTGGAAGACTGCTTGTTGAATATTCAACATTTTAGATTTAATCTTTACTGTTCCTTTGTAAATTCTCCACTTATCCAGAATCCCTTTCCATTAATTAGTGCTTCTATTGTGAGGAACAATAGAACGAGAGGTGAGCTTTCCCACATACATATTTGTGCTTAAGTAAAATATGATGGTAAATGTGGCCTATATAATTAAGTCAAAGGAATCCATGCTGGATCTGCTCATTATGGGTTTGCATTTTCTCTGATCTAACTAACAAGTCCGTCTAACAGAAATGCTATTGAATTTTATTGAGTAGCAACTGGGACAAATGAGTGAGTTCTTCATACTCTATGCTTTTTTTCCAACACATGAATAGTTGTCCAGGGTATTGGATCCTTCTACAAGTACAGACTAAAAGGTTTCTATTCTTGTGCTTTTGGGTCTTTTTTAGCCAAGTTTTAGAAACTGAAATGAACAATACTGAGAAACTAGTATGATTAGAGGATAACTTTGGAGATAACTTTGAAGGATAACTGTTGAAATTGCCATATTTTTCTGATACAGATAAAAGTGGATGATCGAATGATCCGGACAGAACAGGGCCTATTGCTACGAAGTCTTCAACGGAGAGACTCTGGTATTTATTTTTGTCATGCTGTGGAGCATGGCTTCATGCAAACTTTGCTCAAAGTGACCCTGGAAGTAATTGATACTGACCATTTGGAAGAGCTGCTCCATAAGGAAGAAGATGGTGATGCCTCCAAGACCAAGGATGCTACCAATAGCATGACTCCCAGTCAAAAGATCTGGTATAGAGACTTCATGCAGTTAATCAATCACCCTAATCTCAACACAATGGATGAGTTCTGTGAGCAGGTTTGGAAAAGAGACCGCAAGCAGCGCCGGCAAAGGCCTGCCAATGCGCAGGTGAACACGAATAAGTGGAAGCACCTACAAGAGAATAAAAAAGGTAGGAACAGGAGGACCCATGAATTTGAGAGGGCACCACGGAGTGTCTGAGCTACATTACCTCTAGGAACCTCATCTAAGTAGAAACTTGTATAGACAGATAACTGGAAAAAAAAAATGCAATATACATGAACTTTTTCATGGCATTAAGTGGATGTTTACAAGAGTTGAAAGCTCAAACAATTTCCACCGGGTTTAAATAAAATATATTTCTAACTTTCCTAGTAAGTCCTTCGTCTCCGCTCTGATTCTAAGACCAGATGGACCAGAGTTTCAAGAACTCTCAGCCGGACATAGCTTACTGCTCAAAAAGTTCTACAAGAGTTCAGCAGGCAGGTTTTGCTTTCTCTGTTGCCTGAGATATAAATGAAATGTTGTATTTCATGCTGTCATCTTAAAGAAAAACAAAACCCATTTTTCATCATCAGCACCACCATTCCTAGACTATGTATAAAACTGCATGAACTCATCAAGCTGATGAATGTCTGAACACGTGATTGGACACAAGGATTTGTTCTTGTTTTGTCTACCAGTTCTCCTGTTTATGAGTACTAGAAGAGGAAAAATAATGCTGAATGAGATTGTGGAAATCTGAACAACATAAGCCATTCATCATCTGGAAGAACAAAAAAACTGTGGAGTACACTGGCCTACTACTGATGACTTCTTTCAGCTTTGATCTAAAGATGTATTTTATTAAAACTATAATTTAAATATACCATGAAAAATATGCAGCAAACATTAGCTCTTTTCTAAAATAGATTAGCCTCTTTGTCTTAGAAATATTGTACTTCCTAATTATTACCATAGAAGAAAAAAAAAAAAAAAAAAGACAACTTCCAATTATGAGCTACTTTACTCTTTTGTTTGGAAAATTTTCCAGGGGAACTGGTCACAATGCAGTTAATCTCCTCCCCACTATTCTAGCAATCTTTATGACATGTAACTTCAAAGCAATTTAAAAACTAAGCTATTTTAACATGAAAGTCACTGTGTAGCATGGAAGTCTTCTACATTCTTTTCTACAAGTATGGTATTTGAATTGACTCAACTTGTATAATACCTTGCTGTAGACTGAACCAATGAAGAGGAGAGCATTGATTTTCAGTTGTATATTTTTTTAATTAAATAAATAAATAAAAAGGTAAATAGCATTAAAATACCCTTTACTAATTATACACTTGCTTTCTTGGTTAGTAAATATTTGGGAATGCTAATATTTAAATGATGTGGCTAATAGACTGTCATGTATCCTTGAACAAGCTCTACATTCAGTTTAAATGGTATGGTTCCCAATTCAGTGGTAGAAAATGTGTCCACACTACTGATCCCCAGTGTTTCATTCTTTCTGTGGGCCAGATCACCCAAAGCAAAGAACTAGACCAAATGCATCCAAATGCTCTGGGCCATGACCTCAAAGCCAGCTCTCTGTTTTAAAATCTAAGGGACTGTTTTATCTGGGAGTGATGTCTGCTGCAGTAGTAAATTGGTGCAGTTCAGCTTAAGACTATTTTATATTAACAGATAATTTGGTCCTGCACTTCTGTCTTATTCTGTATACAGGAGAGAAACAGGGTAAAACAGACAATGCACTTACACCATAAGTGTAAGTTTAGGGATACAAGTAGTTGATTTATTCACCTCAGCACAGATGTGCCTTTGGTCTCCAGTTCTATGTTGTCCAGTTCTTGTGAGGTCATCTTCCTCCAGCCTCTCATATTTTATCTTGATAGAGTCAGTAAATGGTATAATTTCAAGTAATGTCATTGTGGGGAAAGTCCTTAGTTTGCTGAAGTAGCTTTTATATAAAAGTGTGTCTGCATTGATGACTGATCTGTTTTGCTGTTATTCACTCCAGACTATTTAATTTATCAATCACAACACTACTAGCCTTATCATAAACAGTATAACACAACTGCTGTGAAAGCAGCTCTCACAATATGTCCCAGTCCCCTTGCCTCTCGCTAATTAAAGTATCCTTCTGATTAGTGAAAACTTAGCTTCTTGCTTTTATAACAATCTGGTTTTAAGTAAAGATCTGATCACTTCAGTCTCCTTTGAATCTTTTGCAGGTGATGAAATTGAAAGTTTTTTACTGTTTAATTCTTTAGGACAAAAAAAAAATCATTGAATTGAGCAAGACAAGACTGTGAGGCCATGAAAAGTGTTTGGGAATTTAGTTTTGAAGCAACTTTAAATCTCTCCTATATTTACTTTGACTCCAGTGATAATTTATTTTCACTCCTGTGAACAATAATGTGGTGTCAAATACCCTTGTTTTTGTGATGTGCTGAATAGGGATAGATTAAAACACAGGTTCAACTGCATTCCTTCCTGTATAGAAGTATTAATTTTCAGCTCAGCCTATGATTAATTTGTGAGCATTGTTGTCAGCTAAACTATTTATTTGTAATCACTCTTTAGCCTTTTGTGTAGGGCTATTGTGTGCCATTGAGTCTTTAGAATACTCACTGTTACAAAAGGAAACAGTTTTAAAATTAGCCTCAAGAGAATTCAGTGGAAAAATGCAGGTTGACTTCAACAAAACATAAAGACTTAAAAGACTTAAATCTTAATGATATTGTGATCTTTTTTTTTTTCTGTACTGTACTCATTTTTATAGCAACTTACTGTCAAAAAATATCAAATCCATACCAACCTCTTCGACCACTCCTTATGGAAAAAAAAAAAAAAAAAAAAGATTAAGTTAATTCTTTGATATGTTTTTCTGTATATGAAACAACAACAACAACAACAAAAAACCGCAACAACAAAATGTCATTAATGGGAACAAAATTGCAAAAGCTCTGTTGTTTTTACCATGACCTGGCAATTTAATTGGATAATAGATCATCAGAGGTCTTATTAACCTTGGTCCACTCCTCACTGACGTGAGTAGTTATCTTGTTTATGTCTTTGTATTCACTCATATAAATAAGAGGGCAGATAATTAAACCAGCAGTGGATATGGTTGATTTTCCTGTTCATATTATGATCAAATTAAAACAACATTTAATACTGATGTGAAATGAACTTTTTTCTAAAGATTATAGGCCTTAATAAATTAATGGATAGAAATATGCCCTGCAGCTTCATTAAAGCTCATATCCCCATTTCTGTCATTATTTTCTAAAGCATCTAAGGATTGAAAATAAAGGTAAAATCAGTGTTTCTGTAAATCATCAGTAAAACCCACTAAACCTAGAGAGTTGAGAAAAAGTAAGAAGTTGTGTTTATGTGGGAGAGAAATAAAGTATTTCATTTGTAACCATAAAACTTGAGGGTTTTTTTCCAATATATATTTTGGAAAGGAACATCAAATCTGGTTTGCTTATACTTTGCACTTGCATGATCACTGAAGATGGGAATTTGTTCAATGACTCCTAAAAACTGTATGATTAAGTTTAGTTATAACATCAAATTGAGAAAATGTGCATCTTTGCAGAACAGAACTAAATCTTCATGTCCCACTAAAGTCACAATGTAAAAATAAATTAAATTAAATGCATGTGAATGCGCATTTACTGATCCTTTTTATGTATTATTTAGTGAATATCAATGGTATGTGTTTAATAGTTCGGTTTTTGCTACCTACACATTAGCCAAAAGAGGTGTAAATATTTTTGACTAGATAAGGAGGTACAGTGTAAAGTACTGTTATCTAGAGGTACTCCATTTCAGTGTGTTCAGCATAATACTAAAATTCAAGATTTTGCCACACAGCTGATAAAGTGTTTATTTGCTATATCAGTGCCAAAATAATGTGCTTATTCTTTAAGCACATTCCTCACTGCATAGTAAATAATTCTGCTTCAGTATCTATCACTTCAATTCAGATGGGAACTAGAAAACTGGAGAGAAAAAAAATGTAATTAAACTGCTGCTGTAAATTATTTCTTTTAGCATGTATTCAGTTGTTAAATAAACATTTCTTCCAAATATTTGAAGTTCATTGTCTTGACTGTTTACACAGAAATGTGCCCTGTAACCTTCATGAGCATGTGGAGTGCACTGTTGCCAATATAAAGCTATCAATGTATATAAGTTCTGTTTAGTAGGCCAGAAAGGCTGCAATTTTTATTAATGGTGTTTATTGTTTATTTTTGAAGAGTACAAAGTAGTAATGTCTAAAATGAAAACTTCAAAGTTGTCTTCAGACTATCTTTTGGCACAATCTCATGAACTTGTGCTGGTAAAGTTGCACATGTCCACATCACTTTACTCTGCCCATGAACAAAGCCTGGATTAGTATATGGCTATGCTTCTTCCATTTGGAAGCTAGCTTTCATAGATATCAAATAGAATAAATCAATTTCTGTCTGTTATCCACATACCTTGTAGGAAAATTTTGAAGCTGTTTAAGAAGACTTGTTTATTGCAGAGGAGTTGGACTTTAAAAGTCCCTTGATTCTATGATTCTATGATTCTGTGAACGTACCATATCAGTTATTTGAGACAGTAAGTCTTAGCATGCAATATAGGGACTGATGTCAAGCTGAAATCTAAAATAAAAGAATCTTCAACAAAATATGAGGAAAGTCCTACTCCATATTACACTATGCTGCTACAGGACTTACAGTCTGTGAACTGGAGCCTGGCATTTTCAGGTAGATAGGCTCACCCTTGACCATCTGCAGTTATTTCTCTTCCAAATGCAGATATCTCTCTTTCTGAAATAACCAATCAGTAATAACAATGCTTCTCTGATATAGTTTAGTTGACCTTATTTAGTTGACATAGAAAAGCAGAAAAAAAACTACAAAAATATACACCTAAACTATTCCTAATAATTAATGTGCATGAAATCATGACCTTTCTTCTCTGAGCAAAGAAGACCTCATGAGAAATAAAAGTTATGCCTTCATGCAGTGTGCAAGCTTGCCATGTCTACTAATACGCTAACATGTACCACTGAGCTGCATCTGAGGTACATTGAACTGGTTTTGAAGCATGAGTCTTGCCTTGGTTAAAGATCCAATGCTTTTTTTGGGCCACTGCATCTTACAGAATTGTGTAAATTAAATCTGATTATCTGTCCTGTAAGCAGAACTCATCATTACGTTTCTCAGAATGGGGTGTTCCTGGATCCTGCAATACTTTTATGCTTCATGCAGATATATTGTACTCCTTGCAGCAAGAGTTTCAAAATCATCTTTTTTCATAAGTGCGTTAGAATGAATTATGAGTGTTTATGCAGAGGTAAATAGAGATGCATGTTTCTACATGGTGACACAATAAAGTAGTCATGGTAATTCTACTAGATATTCCAGTACATCTCATAAATATAAGTATACATTTTTATTTCTCATCTATTTCTGTAACTGGAGGCAGGAGAGGAAAAGAGAAGACAAAAGAACTGTAGTCATTTCAACTATGTTTTGCAATGACCAATCCCTTAGGCCCTTCAATCTCACGTCAACTTTTTTCTTGGTTTGCAGAACTATACAGAAAAAATCATTCCTATAAACTTTGCTTTCACTGAATAATACCACATTGAATAGCTAAATAAACCAGAACAAACAGACAGACTGTGAAAGTTCCTCTGAAGAAAGCTTAACTTTCCTCTTCTGTTTGCTATTTTATCATTACAGTAAGACCACTGGTGCTCATTTTGTTAGGTTTTTGTCAGCACTTCTATTATAAAGCCTGATTTTTGGGGATTTATATTGTTGTCTAAGTCAATTCCAAAGGTTTTAAAGACTAAAGGTTTTAAATACTAACTTTTAATCCAGAAATGGTTTTACAGAAGAAAATTGTTAAAATGTGATGAGTTCAGTCTTGAAAACATTAAAAAAAAAAAAATTACAATTTTAGTTATGTCTGATGGTTGT